TTTTTCCAAATTCTGTGCTGAAAGCCAATGAATTATACATACATCTTCTTCTTTTTCTTTCTTTGGGTGCAGCCATGGCCTTCAATTCAATCTGTGTGTTGGCATGCATCACAACTAGCAAACCTATCTAACTTACACCTACTTGATAGTTTATAAGCAAATTTCGAACTAATAGCTAATAGCTTATGGTTGAAAAAATAATTTATATAATAAGAGTGTGCTTGGTAAGCATTATGAGTTAATTTATAACTTATTTGATTAGCTTATTAGTTTTTTATATATAAATGAATTTAATTTGGTATGATGAGATTTTATGAAAATCTCGAGCTTATGTCATTTTTTAGTAGCCTTTTAAATAAGTCCATTTAATTTTTTATTTCAATTGGTTTATCAACTACTTTTACTAAAACACTCTTATCATAGTCATATCAACTATCTTTCCAAGCATAAGCTATAAAATCAAAATCTTTTATAAACTAAGCTAAACAAAACAATCTAAATAGTAAACACTTAACACAAAGAGATCGACTAATGTAAGGTTCAAAAGTCCTTAAAACAATCAGAAGAACCCCCTTTCAATTACATCACATAAGCAATTTCCCATACACAAAGTACCACAAGAATTCAATCAATTCATGGGCAGCAAACAAACCCCCCAAAAGCCCCACTGCCACAGATCAAAACAGATTTCTCTATAGCACCACTTAAAAAAACCTCTGCAATCTTAACAATATTTTCCCCACGAGTTCAACTTTACACACACAGAGCTCCTCAAAAGAAGGCACTAATCACCCATATACATCACAAACCCAAAACTATTCAACTAATTGTAAAAAGGCCCCAATAATCGGTCATCGATACCAAACAATTGGGGCCGTAGAGTTCTGTGGAGGCTGAGGAATCAGGCAGTGTTGTTGTTGCCATTGACTGAAGCCTTCCCTCAAAGTTGTACCATTAACATTCCTTTGCTCAATATAACCACCGTCACTACATTCTTCGACTTCCATTTTTTCCTCACCCGTCTCCTGAGCATCCATCATCTCGGGATCATCAGTTTCTGAAGAAAATTCGGGAACAGCTTGAGTCGAGGCTCGTGGGGGAACCCACGGGACGACAGCTAAGCATCCATTATAGTTGTTATTCTCTGTTGTCTCGTCAGTGTTTAGTCTCCAGTGGCTCGATTGATTGGACCAGGGGACTTGATCTGGATTAACAAGCTATTTGTTAAACAAAGAGTTGCAACTTGCAAGATAACATCATAATAGCCAAGATAAGGCAAATACTGATCAACGAGACAAAACTAAATGCATCACGAAATAGACTACACTCGGTGCATTTTCTATTATTACTGCCATATCGCTTTTCAGAATCAAATTTCGTCATCCGCACTCAAAACGAATCACTTTCAAGGCTAGCAAATCACATAAAGAAACCCAATAACCCATGATAAAAACCGAACCAAATAGACATGTACACGTAAGTAATACGTACTTTTGAAAACCGAAACAAAATTAAGTGCCATATAGCTTTCAGAATAAGCTCATCTTCCAATACAAATAGCAAATCACTATCAGATATAGCAAATCAAAAAAAGAAACACAGCAATCAACGAACGACTGAAATCGAATCAAACAAACATGCACAAGTGAGTATTTAATACGTACTTTTGAAAGCTGTTATGAAATTAGGGTCGAGCGAAACTGAGTAGTCGGACAGCGAGCGGGGCGACATGGTATCGTTCATAGGCTTGAACAGCACAATTGCCCTCTCTTCATTATCGGGCGCACTTGGCAGCAACTCTTCAATCTTTATCGCACCTGATGAGCTGCCCAAACGGTTCTGTTCTTGAACCACAAACTGATCAAATGCTATGGGAATATCAGCTTCTTCATTCTCGATGATTGGAGGCAAATCAGCATCCTAAATTAGGAGAAATAGAACAATACACCAACTTACGAATCTTACTCAACTCAATCTAATTTCAAGCACTGAAGTACATAAAGCATACATAAATACAGTAAATGTGAAAGCCCAACACAGTGTACTTCCCATAGAGGCAGAAAAAAGGGAAAGCAATCGACACCTATTGTTCAGCATGATTCATGATGTAAAGTTCAACATAAGAGGATAGAACTAATAAAACATAAAGAGTAAAAAAAATTGAAAAAAAAAAAATTACCAGCCTGCGTATTTTTCTGGCGGGAGAAGAAAGGGAAAAATCGGAGAAATCTTCGCTGACATCATCGACCTCCTTCCTCTTCAATTTCATCGGACCAAAACCCTCCATCGCTTCCTGGTTTTTTCCAAAATCGAACTCCAGGATTAAAAAAAGAAAAACTAAACAAGGGCAAAACCCACGATCAGAAAAAAAAAAACAGAAGATGGGTAATAAAATCGAGAGCAGGGGAAAAAAACCAGATAACAGTGCTTTACCTTCAACCCCGAGCTGCGAAAGCTGGAAAAAATAGTCGAAAGCTTTTGAGTCAAGAAGATAAAATGTTGAGTTGGGAATATGGTTAGGTGTATGAGAAGAAGGATGAAGAAAGGTAAAGAGCTGTGGAGGTTAGATTTTTAAGGGGGAGTATCTAGTGTGTGTGTGTACGTGTGGAAGCCATCGTTGCCGTTCGAGATGTCTCCAGAAAGACGGAGGAGGCCCTCATTTGCAAATATGTACAGCGGAAAAGTTATTTATCAATTTGCGCCTTTGCGGTGTTGTGAAAAGTAAATAAATGGGCCGCACCGCACATGAAAACAATATAATTAGGAATATTTAAGGGCATGCTTATTGACAAATTACTTCATTTTCATTCAATTCATACTTAAAATTTAACTCAACTTTAATTCAATTTCACTATCTTTAATATTATTTATTTAATTAAATTATACAAACCAATCATTCTTACACATCATATCAATTTTAATTCACTATTCATCCACTCACATAATTTTAACTACCTATCATTTCCAATCATTTATCTCCTACTTTTACATCAAATCAAATTTAATTATTTTATTTTAAATATTATTTTAATATATTTTTAAAATTCCACCAACAACTAACCATACAACTTTTTTCAAAATTAACTATAGTTGACCAAAATAACTCATTTTGAACAAATTATTCCATAAACAAGAGCTCCCTAATACAATAGAGATAGTATATAACTATAAACCGCACGAAGTGCAAAGAGAAAGCAACAAAAAACTAAAAGTACAACCAAAGACTGAGAGGACAGATCCAAAGATCGCCTAGAGCTTAACCTAGCAACGCTATAAAACAAACTCGCAACAACGCAAATAAAAACTAAAAAACTATTAACTACATTCTCAACAGGATAATGCACGAGTATACGATCCCAACAGAATAATAAGCTCACACTTGGGCACAGAGGTCAACGACTCAAACCAAAAAAACAAGACCTAAACAAAATATACCAAACAAAGAACACGCAATCTAAGCTAAGAACAAATAAAACTAAATGAAATCAAAGCCCTTCCCACAGCAGAATAACTGATCCCAACACACGGCACCAACAGAATCACAGCCAATCATCTCAGAGAATGAATCGCGGCCCATGAATTTGCTCTCGAAATGCCTAACTGAAGCAGAATCCCGAGACCCAACCACATCAAGAGGAGAAGCCGATTCCCAAGTCGACCAGCCCCTCCACCCACCAGCACCCCGAAATCCGGCCAACACCACTGGCCAAGATCCGTAAACGCCGGCCATCCCGCAACCACAACACCAGTGAAGCAGGGACACAAGGGGCCAAACCCGACTCATCTCAACCCTGGCCTCAGACAAGCCGAGCAACCAGGGCAACACCCTACACCCCGACCCCACACCACTATCCAGCAACTCGAAGCAACGAGGAAGACCGTCAGCCGCGTCCGCCGCCGGCCACCAAACCACAGCGAAGCCGACCATCGGGCAACTGACAACCGCCATCGACGAGAGGAAACAAGAAATAGAGCAAAATCGAAGTGAGGTTGCGCGGCTAAGGGTCATCCACCGAGGAAGGCGCGCGATGGCAGATGGGGATAGCTTTGAGCGAGAAGAGAAAGGGGTTAGGGTTAGACGGTATATATAGTTTTGTGAATCTATATATACTAGTGTAGAGCCCGTGCGATGCACGGGTTGCACAATTTTAAGGCTATTTATCCAGGCTTATAATTATATACATGAATAAAGAAAAATATATGGGATATATATAGTACGTGACCCGTGCGAGCACGGGATATATTTATTTGACAAAGAAACAATCATATATTATTAAAGACCTCCTTGTACACAACATTATGAGTTTGATTAATGGACAACTCATCATTCTCACAAACTAAACATGTACAAAAAAGCAATCATAAAAAATTAATTTGTTTAAAAAACATAAATAATGTAAATATCTAAATATATACACGATCTCTAGAAGAAATAAGACAAATTCTAAATTTTAAAAATAAAATAAAAAAAATCAAAAATATACGTTTCATATTTCGAAATAAAAAAAAAAGTAAATATAATTTGGCTTACAGTTTTATCGTGCAGAACCAACTCGAGATAGGATTTGTACGTGCTGCACTAGTCTTGTAAAAACATTCTTACAATTAAAACTTAAGCATCGGTCTATTAGACCTATTAACTTGTTTGATTAAGCAAAATCCTTGAGTCATTGTTTTGAATGAAAGACTGATTGGAGATTTTTTTTCGCAGGAGGTTGAAAGTGAGGAAGACGATGGCTCAATATTTTGAGATTTATAATTTATAATTAGTAGAGTAGAATCAATATCTGTTAAGATTTTTAAGAAAAAAATCTTGATACACGGAAATCACATTATTTGTAGAGGAACAAATCGGATCATATTTTCCATACAATTCATAAGATTTTTTGTAAAAGATAAGAAAGAATTTCAAATCTACACAAACTATAAATATTAAATGTATTGATTTACGTAAATCAATATATATATAGACAACCAAACCCTTCAATTTAGGTTTGACATCTGATTTTGGTAAAATCATGATTTTATCATCCTATCAAATCTGCTTTTTTTTTGTTTTACGTACATTTTTTTTTGTACCAATTTTATGGGAAAAAACAATTAAATAAAAATTAATTGATAGAAATAGAATGCATTAATTACCTTTGACTTTTCTTCCTACTAATTCTAGTAAATGGGATGACCTCTTTATATAAGTATAGATACATTATATATTAAATTAATTTTTAATTAATTTTTGGAAGATTTATACCAATATATATAAATTATTTTCGACATATTTACAACAGATACTACGTGTATTGTACGGATATTAGTGTATTGTACGGATTTGGATTCCATAAAAAAGGATTTGCATCAATCATATACAATGAAATAAATCCCTCCACAAAAAAGGGAAAAAGTTGAGTCCAAATTGTGAAAAAATTAATGCAATGGCGTAAAAGAAGGATATATTACATATTATCTGTTGCAGTTAATGCTCGCTATTTATTAGGTCGAAATTAATGCAATAGCGTGTAACAAAAACAACTCATATGGAATGATTTTATGATAATTAATTCGGTGTAATTAATGAGGCGTGTGAAAAGAACATAAAACTTGCCGTTTTTGAAAAATAATTAATGCAAACCAGACTTTGACCATAAATTGACCTACTAATTTTGATAAATGTTAATCCTTATTATATATATAGATATTAATGTAAGTAGATATTGTTTACGAAAATTAAGAACGTGTTAATGTCCTTTAGACGTGGACTTTAATTATATTGCCTATTTTATGCGTATGTTCTGTATAGATTTTTAGAGATTATCACCTTAAATTTGTCTATTCTTAATTAGTAAAGTATTTAACACGTGAATTTGTTTTAGGAAATTAATAACAAACTTAATATCCGTTTTGAATATTGATAGGGTGTAACAGATATCTTCTCTTTATAACACGTGAATTTGTTTTAGGAAAATGAATAAAAAACTTAATATCAGTTTTGAATATTGATAGGGTGTATCAAATATCTTCTCCTTATAACACGGATTTTGATTTTGAATCTGAAAATTATCCCAAATATCTTCTCGTTGTAATACGAATTTTGTTTCTTCAATTTATTATTAACCAAATATCCGCTCCTTCTTATAATATGGTTACCATAAAAAATTATGCGATAAAGACGCTGTTTATGAGGCGTGTGAAATGGGATTATTTCATGACAATTAATTCGGTATAATTGATGAGTTGAAAAGGCGTGTGAAAAGGACATATAAGCTGACTTAATAAGGCGTGTGAAAGGAACATAAAAGTTACCGTTTTTGAAAAGTAATTAATGCAAAATTGACTTTGACCATTAATTAAGTTACTAATTTTGATAAATGTTAATTCTTATTATATAAGTATAGATATATATAATAAGAATAACCATTTATTAAAAATAGTAGTAAAAAAATTGACAGCATTTAATGCATACCCTTTTATGAAAACTTTTTAAATATATGCATTAATTGCTTCTATATACACTTTTTTAAATAAAATTAAATCAGATATGATCAAAATATTGTTTTCTTAAATAATTTTATTAATATCTACAATAATTTTATTGATATTCATTATAATAAATTATAAGATTGATTTTTCGTGATTCATGTTGATAATATTTTGGTCAAGATAAATAGTACAACATATTTTAAGTTCCAACCATAATATTAATTTTTTTCACAAATATTCACTTTTTATTCAAAAAATATGTATAAAAAATTGTAACACGTTAAGTAGAATTTTTTTTCTTCCAATTAATCAGGAAAAATCAAGTTGGTGAACTAATCTTGGTCATATATTTGTTATATATAAAAAATAAATTATTCTTCAAATTAATATAATTTAATATTTAAGAGATAATTTAAGAGATAACGAGTAGATACATTAAATAATTTTACTAATGATCAAAAATTAATTTGAAATATATTAATTGTTCTTTAGAATTTATTTGTATATTATTGCCAACCATGATTTTTTTTATTATTTTTTTATTTTGATTTCTTTCTATAATAAAATTATTTTAAAATATATTTTCATTGATGAGTATGTTAAATAAACTATAAATCCTTATAATGCAAATTAGAAAAAATCATGATTATAGAAGGGATTGAGTGTATGGCATTTCCTAAATCAAAGTTGTTAATTAGTATACAAAATCAAATTCGAAAAAAACATGTGTGTATATTTTGTAAAATATTTATATACTATTTAATTTTAAATATATTTACATATTTTAAATTGATTCCATTAATAAATAATACTAATGTGCATTAAATAGTTTTCATTACATAAAAAAAAAGAAGAAGACATACGACTTCTATAACTTTTATAAATAAAAATGACATTGTATGACAACAAAGTTTAAAATAAAATAATAAATAAATATTATATGGTGAACAAGAATAACTAAAATTGTTATTTTTTCTTATATCAAAGAATAAATATATATACTAAAATAAAATTTATATTAGCATAAATATGTTAGTAAGATAATATATTAATTATTTTACAAGTTAGACCTAACATATTCATATTTAATTTTCTGGCTAAAAAAATAACGCTGATTAAAAGAGGTGGAAAATAAATTATAACCCTATTGTTTTTTACACTTAACTGATTAAAATAGGTGGAAACTATATGATAACCCTATTGTTTTTTAAACTTAACAGACAGAGCCTATGAAAATAACTCATTTAATATCTTTGTTCCGTGCATCACACGAGTACGTACTAGTAAATGTTTAAATGGTCTATAATCTTAACTGAAAAATAGTAAATTTATTGTTTAATAATTAAATAATTTATATGTTCAAGTTTTTTTAATATAATATCATAAATATTATATATATAAAGAGCGAGTTGTGCAAGTGATACGTGTCGATTTAAATAAAGAAAATATTATAATTCTTTTAGAGTATTTAAATTTTTCTAAATAAAAGAAATTTTTATTTTTAAAAATATTTTAAGTGTAAACTTATTCCATATTACGTATATTATACTGTGGTTTTCTTTATATATATAATATCTACATAAATATAAAAAGGATTGTCATTTAGCGAAAAAAGTAACTATAATTTCTCGCTTAAAGAATTCAATTTTACTTTTTTTAGTAACTTTTTTTGAAAAAAATTGAAAATGGGTGGTCGTTTTTTAAAATTTAAATTAAATAAGTCAATTTAAAATCTGTACACAATCCAATAAGTCAACAATTGCGGCTCACCTGTATAGCAGCTAAATCTGCAAACAGATAGTTAGAATCAAATATGAGCAGCACAACTTTGACTTGGAAGTCTTGGGGAACTACATGCAGCCGTACTTCTATATGGCCTATGATCTCAAGGGAAATCAGCTCTCATTCCAGAGGATGGAATGTGATGTTTTACGTCATGATTGATTAACAAACAATGTTTCTCCCTTACCTCTCTATTAATGGATCAAATCCTTGGACAAATCTTGATTCTTGATCATAAGCAACTAATACTAAATTTGAGCTCTATACATAATAATTAATATACTTATGTATTGCAAGTTAAGGTCCGTCTAAATAAAATATCCAAGTGGACTCTAATCATGTGAAAGTTGATATGCCTCGGTTCATTTCAACCTATAGGTGACTACAACACAAACACCGATAGGATTGAACCCTTCGTAAACTTATATGTACATATTGTTATGTACTAGTACAAATATCCAAAGATAAATAGTTTGAAGATAGAAGGCTNAAAAAAAAAAAAACACTAGAAGTAAAAGTTCGGTCAAATTCAATATCTAGCATATCATAAAACCTGAGCTCTGGCCTCTCTTCCTGTGCAAATCTGGTTCAGTTGTCTCCTATTTTGCTGTGATTTTTTCAGGCAAAATAAATACATCCTCTAATCTAGCATATCATCTCAACAGCACCGGGTAAAATGCTAAACTTTTTTGGGAGGAACCCTAAAAACTCCCCATCAGACTGGACAAAAGTACTATTACTGCTGACAACCTCCTCGATCTCGATCGAACTTACACTGAAAATATAGTCGAGAAGTTGTAAGGATACCGGGTTGTGAGCCATCCTCGACAAATACTTCAAAATAAAATGACCAGTATTGGTAGACCAAAAATCGAGAACCAATATAGCTAATGCAGTAGAAATATGACATGATAATTCTAACCATGCAAACTTCACTGTATCTAAGTTCTTTTCAAATGGAGAGAGAGAGAGAGAGAGAGAGAGAGAGAGAGAGTATACCTTCTTGAAGTTACGTTTTCCACTGATAAGTGTGTACCATTGAGATTTCCTCAACAAAACTCCCCTCAATTTACCAAAAAAAAGAAGAAAAAAAAAACATTGAAATACTCTTGTCTCTAACCTTTGATAAATCACAACTTGTTATGTTATACAGTGACCACCAATAAAACTGCATTTTTATTTTATCAAATATTATAGTTTTATATTTATATTTTAGATAATGATATTAAATATGCGTACTTGTGAAGATAGCTCAAATTTACAAGAATACCAGTTTCCGGCCGGCATACCTTTGGCTGCCGCCTCCATAGCTCCGCCCGCTATCGCTGCTAATTCGACTGCTCTCACTATCATTGGAGCCAGTAAATTTCTTCTTCCACCAATCCCTCTCAGGCTTGGGCGACATCGAATTACTGCTATCCCCAATCCTCTTAACCTTCCTCGACTGCAAATTAAACGGGAAACCCATTTTCAGAAACAAGCCCCTGTCCTCAAAACCTCTGTGGCGCTTCACCTTCTTCACAAAAACGGCCCGATTTTTAGCCCTATTTTGCAGATGAGGGCCTTCAACATCATCAATTTCCATTTTCTGTCGGTGATGCTCGACCAGATCTTGTAAGGACAGCTCGTACGATGACTCGGGCATGTCTTTCAGCATCTCCATAAGCTCCCTTTGGCCGCTGGCGATGGATTTTCTTCTCGAATTTGGGGATAGGCAGAGGAGGGGTGAGACGGGCTCGGGCTGTTTTTCCATAGCGGCGGCGAACAGACGCCGGAGTCGTCAAGTTCTTGGTGGTTGTTTGGCCTGAATTGCAATATCTCGTCGGAGGAGGACCGATCGATGCAATTGTTGTTGTCTTGGGGCAAACGAGGGATTGCAGCAGACATTTGATCAAGCATGGTTGGTTTTTTTGTTTTTTGGTTTTTTTTTTTTTTAATTTTGTCTTATTTATTGTATTTTTGAGTGGAAAATTGAAAAATTGGAGGGGAAGAAATTTGGGGTTTGTTTGTTGGTTGGGGTGGGATTTGTTGTAAATTGGGATCCTCAAGCATTCATCAATCCACACCAAGCAAGAGAACAAGAGACAGAAGAGCAGAAAAGTCTGTGTAGTTTTATTCATCGTATATCACCCTTTTATAGGGTTTACAAGTGAGAAGCCCTAAAACCTAATTTCCCTAACTAATGGACTTCAGGCCCAATTATCGATTAGTAATGTCCATATACATATATTTATAACACTCCCCCTTGGACATTACTACATCATGTCTATGTCTCGTTAAAAACCTCGCTACAAAACCCAGTGAAAAAAAAAATAGTCGAGGAAAAGAGTACATGACATATGCATATTTATGTGTTACACATGCTGCCTCGTTAAAAACCTTACTAAGTAAAACCCAATGGGAAAAAACATAGCTAAGGGAAAAAGAGTACAGCACCGGCCAACAGGGCCTGATTTTCAGGATTACAATTAGCCTTCCGGGCTCGATCTTCAGGATTTATTTATCGCTCCCCCTGAAGGCAAGAGCATTTCAAGTTATATTTATAAATATTTGTTGCTCCCCCTCAAGGTAAGAGTATCTACATAAAATCGTCATTGGTTGCTCTTCCGGAGTTATTATGGATTCAAAAAAATATAATCAAATGTATTTCCATAATTTATTTGTGTAACACAAACTGAGTTATCTTCAAGATAAATATGGGGAAATTTAAATAACCAATGGTAAAGAGTTAATACCATTTAAGAGGTCTATAACCAATCGAGGACCCAGTACTTCGGGGATCAATTATACACTTAATGTCTTTATCCACCAATATCATATATCAAGTCCAAAGATAACTCAACATATATGAAAGTATAATGGGATATTCTCAGTTTATCACGATCTCTTTAAGAAGAGAAATAGTAAATGTTGCTAGCAAATTCATCACAAATGCAGTATCAGGCCTGATGCAGTTTGCGTGATAAAAATTAAGCACAATTGCGCTTAGTAAATAAACTTCAGGTCGTTTGTGGACTTCAAGTCCATTGGAACTTCAGGTCCTATAATATCCTCATTTGTTTCTTTGGATCTTTGTCAAATTCCAAATATTTGACACTCATTGGTGTTATAATTTTACATCACTAAAAGAGATTCAAGTAGATTGGTTGGGTATAAATACTCCTTCTAGGAGATGCTCGATCTACAAGTCGAGATAATACTCCTTAGTATTTAACCAGAAGGTTCATTCTAACTCCGTCTATAAGCATGAGCTAACTTATTTAATCTTTACATAGTGTTCACCACATAATCTATTTGACCGAGATGATCATTTTTTGTATATTATCATTAATATACACAAGGATCTACCTTGAATTTCTTATTTTACTTCTTTAGGAAGAATTTAGTTGGTTGTACCACATCTTACCAACAACTTCAAATAATTAAACTATTTATTATTTAATTATCGTTCATCTCGGGTACTCGAGCCCATCCAGGACTTTTCACATATGACTCGATAGTCATAGTAATGTTGCTGCCATAAATATTAACTTGCGGAATCATTGATAATGAGAGAACTTATCTAAATAAATATTTGGGTCTCTGCATAAACCCATGAGCATAATCTCGCTATATTTACACCACCACATCACATGTTTCATATAAATATTCATTATCCTTCTGGGATATGCTATCCTCCTGGGATATACCGTGTAGCGAGTGAAAGCTCTGCCTCAATTTTTCTTTCTACCTCAATCAACCTAAGTGCTTCTAGCACTTTCATTATTTTGATCCGGATCAGTATTTGAGATAGTAAAGAAATCATATAGGCAAGTATGTTGTCGACAACTGATATTCAATTTATATTTTTGCTCTCAACCATTCGCTAGCCATAATTATAATCATTTCCCGTAACATCTAATTTTGGCTATTCCGCATGTCCAGTACTATAATGGTTTGATGCACGTGCAAGATGTACTGGATCAACTCTTCAGGAGTTTCTTATAAAGGAGTGTTAATTCTTGAATATACATTTTCCGCGGACTTCCATATATCATATCACCTTATGCTTCAAGCATTAAGGAGTCAATCATTCCCTAGGGAATTTTCTTACTTTGTGGTCCATCTATATATTTACAAATAGGCCACTCCATTATAACTATAGAATTCGCTTGGCAGAAATATATATGAACTTCAAGTTCAATTTTTATTGCGTGGTTTCAAATAATGAAAACATTAATATTTCACATATTTCACGGCATTAATAAACTTATGCTCATATCTCCCCCTAATGCCGTGAAATTATCTTCATATATTATGCAAAAAACGTACCAAGTAATAAAGTGATCCCCTATAATGGCCTCTAGGTATTAAAAATTCGACGGAGTATAAAAATCACATCATACCTAGCTTGTAATATAGGCCCATAAAGGTACGAATTGGTGGTGATATAAAATGGTGCATAATAATAATAAATTGCAGATGGGAAATGTTCGATTCTCCACGCATTTTAGGGGGAAATTATCATAAATAATTGCCCAATATGAACCAACTGCTCATGCTAATTATCAAATATATAAGTTGGGCATGGAAGTATAATAATTCATTTATAAGTGAACACTATATGCTTCAGGCACTAAAAAAAATTATGTGCTTTGGGCACTATATATAAATTTATTATTGTAGCTATCAACAATATAAATCAATGATATGCATCTTACCAAATATACAAGCAAACATAAATAATCATAAAGTCTCAATCAAAACATAGTATCATAAGCAAAAACAAACCACAAATGTCTGATAGAACATAAAAAAAACAGGAATGTCTAATAGCATGAAAACAGATAATTAATAAAATATCCAGTTCTAAGATAGAATGCATATTAATCAAGCATTATCACCATAGTCCTCGAGCTCGAGCTGCAATAAATCATCATCATCATCATTGATGGCTAAATTTGCTTCAGGCAAACTAGCATGATGTGATTCACCTTGAGGAGCCTTTCCTTTCTTATCCTTGAGCATTCTTTGATACGCCTCAACTAGATGCCGAGGAGTACGACATGTGCGGGACCAATGATTGTCGCACCCACACCTAAAGCAAACCTGCTTTTGCTCTTTAGGCTGTGGATGTGAATCGCGTCGATTTGAACGATCCGCATCAATGTTTAAGTTCTCGCTACGACCTCCCGGGAGGTTATCACCATGATCTCGCCCTCCATCACGATTCCAAACACGGCCACGACCGCGTCCACGACCACGACCACGACCGTGACCACGTCCACCATGGGGTGACTGGGTATGGTGTCCTCGACCTCTTTCTCGCATATTATTATGCGCATGAGTAGTCGCATGTGCTTCAGGCACTGCTTGAGTCCCAACTGGCCTAGCATTATGATTTTTCATCAACAACTGATTGTGTTTTTCGGCAACAAGCAAGGCCGAAATCAGCTCAGAATGCGTTACATAGTTCTTAGCCCTGTACTGCTGCTGGAGTACAAGGTTGTTAGCATGAAAAGTTGATAAAGTCTTTTCAAGCAACTCAGTCTCGGTAATGTTCTGCTTACAGAGTTTGAGCTGTGAAACAATGCGGTGTAGAGCTGAATTATACTCAGTGACGGATTTGAAATCCTGAAAGCGAAGGTTAAGCCAGTCATATTGTGCTTGAGGGAGGATTATTGCTATCTGTTGGTCAAAACGATCCTTCAGGGATTTCCAAAGATTGGCGGGCTCTTTTTCTGTAAGGTATTCATTTTTCAGATCTTTATTAAGATGGTGACGGAGGAAAATCAATGCCTTCGCCTTCTGGGCGGGAGTGCTTTGAGACGTCGGATCAATTGTGGCACTCAAATCAAATGAAGCCAGATGAATGTCGACATCAAGGGCCCAAGTTAAGTAATTACTACCATCAAGGGCGAGCTCAGCAAATTCTGTTTTGGTGATATCAGACATATTTATAATCTTGAAGGAAAAACACGATTTTTTCCTAGGGCAACACCAATAACAAACTAGAGCGTGCTGATAACGTGTTGTAAATTGGGATCCTCAAGCATTCATCAATCCACACCAAGCAAGAGAACAAGAGACAGAAGAGCAGAAAAGTCTGTGTAGTTTTATTCATCGTATATCACCCTTTTATAGGGTTTACAAGTGAGAAGCCCTAAAACCTAATTTCCCTAACTAATGGACTTCAGGCCCAATTATCGATTAGTAATGTCCATATACATATATTTATAACAGGATTGTCATGAATAAATGAGTGAACTGTGGGTCGATGTTTTCACTTAAAAAATATAAAATATAAAATAATAAAAAAAAACACATGTTGTTGTATAATTATTTCAACTCTTTAAAATATATTAGAAAGATCATGTAATATTCTATAATTATTTCAACGTATTTTTATAGATAATCTAAAAAGATTTAAATAATTAATTTAACATGGTGTTCATCAAAATTTATTTTATTTTTATTTCAACTCTTTCAAATATATTAGAAAGATCATGTAATATTCTATAACTATTTCAATGTATTTTTATAGATATTTGAAAACCTCATTCTGTCAATAATTTTACTGATAGATAAAGCATACAACATACAGCAGTAACTACATCTTCATCTTCGCTTTTTTTCCCTCAATAAAATCACCACACAATTAAGTACCCTAACACCATAGAATCATGAGTATACCAGAATATTTTTGGGGGCTGGCGTACTTTGATCCCTGGCCGATTTTCTCCACTCGATCGTTGTCTGGCCTTCTTCGATCCCTGCCCCATTTTCTTAGAGAGAATGGAGTCGAATTTTATCTCGTGCAGTCTATTATTCACCAAATAAATAAAAAAATTATCGGGTAAAGTGAGAAAATAATATGAGAAGCACACCACTTTATTCATCATGATATTTTTGGCATAGCACTTCATTTACACGCAGAAAGATGTTGCAAGAATTGTCTAAGTTAAATACATGAACATGCTCCTAAATGCTCTGGAGATGTCTATGAATAATTTTTAGTGGATTATCAAAGCATTACTGTGGTGTAGTTAAAATATATTTTCGATTTATCTTGTCTTAGCCAGGTGAGATGAGTTTGTAGGGATCAAAATAACTGTGCAACCTTCAGTAGACCAAATATGGGAAGGGACCAAATACGGTCCGATCCACCCGATCTATTCGTATCACTCCCTTCGCTTCGCTCGGTTCGCTCCCTCAGTCCTGTACTCCCCTCGGGCAGTCCCCTTCGGAGTCACAAGTGACCGAACTCCGAGTGAGGGAACGATAAGCGAACTCTGTTCCATAGAGTAAGCGTGTAAGCGTAGGACAAACTTCTGGCTTGTCCGAAGCGGAGGGAAGGGGGGAAGGTCCATGAAGGGGGGAAACCATTCCCCTTCTTCTTGTGCCGTCGCCCCTATTAAGACCCCCAAAATGTATGATAAAACACCGCCCTAGCTCTTCTTATCTCTCCCCTGTGCCTTCCTCTCCTTCTCTTGCCTTCCTATCTCCCTTTTCTCATTTTCTCATTCCTTGTTCTCATTCTAAAGCGCATTTTGTCTAAAGCGAAGCCCCTTTTTGGAGCTTTCTTCCTATTGTTACGGGTATGGAGCCATAGTTCTTCATCTTTTAATCCAGCTAGGTAGTTCCCAGTCGTTTCTATCCTTAGTCCTAACCTCATTTGATAGGCCGACCCTATCCGAGTATTACCAACCTTGGTAGCCGAACCTGAGCCTAGCGTCTAGTCGCGCATCCCCTTTATCGTACCCAGGTACCCAATTCGATACCCTGGTTTCCGCCTACTCAAACGAGTACGTAGTTGGATGCATCAGTCGAATGGCGTTCGTTCCAATTTGTTAGGAGATCTTCGGGTTGGTTACCGTCCTGTAGTAGGAGCTCAATCCGGTCCTACCCGGTTTACGCGCCTCAGCACGTTAGCACTTGAACTGGATCTGTCCTATCGCGTTGGACTTACTGACGTCTAACTGATTGCTAGACAAGAGTCGCCTTCCTGTTGCCTTGATGGGTCAGGACTTGATATTTCACTTCCCGATTGTTATGATCTTATCCATAAGGTGTTCTCCGACTCTCACACTATGGAATTTTAAATCTTAATTTTAATGTTATCAAACAGCTTAAAACAATCAGTAAGAAAGAAATCCAAACACAAATAACTTTTCAGCTCGACAATATAATCAGACTTTATATCAGGTATTTCTTATTTTGTTTTGACATCCTCAACGGCTTGAGCTAAAGTTTTCAATAGGTTCATTATCAACGTCTGTAGCTTTGACACAACAATCATACTCGGATGGCAATATGTCCAACATAAGATAAATGTCCTTGTTTACTCCAACCAAAAGACCAGGCTTCAAATTTTCAGGGTCAAGCAGACTCACTGTCATTGACACATGTTATATTAATGGTGTACAATGAAGAAATATGAATATTCACAGATTTTAAAAGAGCATAAATAAACACAGAAGAGAAGCATGACATCACTAAATAACCACTAAATCATTATATATGTGTCATATTAATGGTGTACAATGAAGAAATATGAATATTCACAGATTTTAAAAGAGCATAAATAAACACAGAAGAGAAGCATGACATCACTAAATAACCACTAAATCATTATACACCTTCAGGTTCCACTCTGTACAATCAAGATATTAAATAAATGAACTTGCAGCTTTTAAACTATTATTATGAAATGATGATTTGAACCATAAGATATATTTAGAGATAACAAAGCTTTTATGTACTTTAAAGAATCATTCATCTGCATCATTTTTTTTTTTTTTTTNCAAATAAAACGAAACAATTTGATAAATAAAGATATAAGAATGTCAAGTGAAATAATACTTCAGGGCACGAATACCAGGTCCATATTGTACCTACTTCTCCTCTCCCTTAGCCGTCAGTGCCACCTGATCAACCAAGGACATCGCAACGGTCGCATTGTGGCTGTTGTTCAGGATAATGAAGTCCCTTCTTCTTATGTACCTGCAATTTGGAAAGCAAATGAACCCATGTAAGAAAAGACGACGTTGTAATGTATCATGAGGAATTGAGGATAAAGAATGGAACGGAAAGAGTTAAGCAAAAAAATAAATTTGTGCCCGCACCATATGTCTTTGTGTTTTATCAAGCCTCTCGACCTCCTTGAGCTTTTCCTCATAATCCTACTTCTTGGCATTTTGTTTGTCGTCCAGCCGCTCGAGCGCCTCCTTAGTGCGGCCTGGATCTTGTACTTCTAGTCCGACTCCAATTGTCTGCAAGTTTGTCCATGTCGTTGACTTGGTCCTTCATGTTGTAAACGCATGTATCGAGCCTTGACAAATTCTTCGGCCTCACGGACCATGTGGTCAATCTCTTCTCTGCTCATGCGGCCCTTATCGTTGGTGATGGTGATTTTCTCCGACTTGCGGGAGGCTTTGTCTTCGGCCTTGACGTTGAGGATGTCGTTGGCATCCACCTCGAAGGTTACCTCAATTTGCAGGGTCCCTCGGCTACATTCACAGAATTTGAATTGTTTTTATGAATTCGAGACAACAAATACAATCTGAAGAAGTTAAATCTGAATTCTGAAACTTTAGGATAATGGTTGTAAATGACAATACAATCCTTGGGGCAGGGGGAATTCCTGTGAGATCAAATTTCTCGAGCATCTTACAGTCCTTTGTAAGAATCCTCTCACCCTCGAAAACTGTTGATACACAAAAGCAGTTTAGTAGTTAGCGTTATCATAAACCGGAAAAGTGGTATCTTGACTTGGAAATCGCGTATGATATGTGCCAACATATCCAACGTGAAATCAGAAAACCCAACTTTTTTGGTGATTGTTATGAAAAAACCAAATACAAAATAGGTATAGCAACACAAAAAGTATCATATTAGTTACACAAATTAATTCTGTCTGCCTATTATCCCACACAAAGTAAGTATTTTCTTTCAATTAAGTATGCATATACATAGCAACCAGGAAAGTAAAATGATTATCTTGACACTGAAAAGAAGAAATATATACATCAAGAATTAAGTAGGGGAGTGTTCATATATGTAATTTTCAACTGAATTTGGAATCTAAACGAAATTATTCACCTCAGATAGATCCCTTAAATTTTAACTCGTTAAGAAAGCCCGAGAAGCGCAGCCAGACGCGAGATTCCGCCCATTTTCTGGTGACCTATTTCTTGACAATCTTGCCGCTAGTCCAAAAACTAAGGAGGAGACAAATTAGTCGCACAGGAAATTAGTAATAAGATCTTAAAAAGTTATAATCGCACCTATCTGACATTAGATGTAGAAATAGGCATTTTTACTACCATTAGGCTATTAATAATTTTATGCTGAATCCCATTGTAGCACCAAAATTTTTTATCATGATAAACCCAATGAAATATGTATTACAAATTAAAAGTGTTGCTAAATTTAGATTCACAAACCCATAACTGTAATTTTTACTAAAAATCTCCACCAAAAAAATTGGGGCAAAAATGCCAGGAAACAAATGATAATAATTATATAGAAGCCACGGAAAATTGCAAGAGAAATTAACTACGCTACAAATTCAAACAAAACTAAAACCTTCAGTTTCTACAGCACGGGGTGGCAGACTTGAGCTCTGCTGCGTCGCCAAACGGCGATTGTCCTTCACCGAAACCTGCCGCACAATGGTCGGTTCGGCACGAAACCTTATGTTTGTACTGTCGGCTGCAGATGAAGGCTGTTGCGACGTCACAGGCTGTTCCACACGGCTTTTTTTGCCCCTCGCTGCAGACGAAGTCTGTTGTGACGTCGTAGGCTGATCCACACGGCTTTTTTTGCCCCGCCACCTATGAATAGCAGCTTGCCGGCTGGTTGGTTGTGTCCGACGGGGCAACATTACTGCCGACTTCTTGCCGCACAGGTTCCATAAAATTGTTTTGTAACAAAAAAAACTGCACACAATGAACCACACACATCGTTAATGGGCAAACCTAATAAAGGCTCTTAACTGAAACAGACATTTTATCAAGCAACTGAAGCACATAGAGCATCATTCGAAAAAACAAAAAAACACAACAGCACATACTTCAACACATTATATCCCACAGAATGAACGTCCTAAAGCGCAGGACTCAAACAAGAAAGCAATATCGCCACCCACGACAACAACGAAAAAATTAAACCCCAAACCCAAAGTTGCAGTCTCCCTTTTTTTAGAAAAAATGGCAGACACGAAGGAAGAACAAAAATAAACCCATACAGAAATTACAGGTATTTCACATCGTGCAAAAAGGTGAGGGAAATCATTCGTACCCAGATTTTACGGGCCATAATCTACTTAACCCATACAGAAATTACAGGTATTTTTATTTTTTAAAATATTTTTTTGTTTTTAAAAAATAAAATTATGTATATATATATATATGTATATATGTATATGGTAAATATATATCGTTAAACATATATTATTTACACTTTAGTGTATAAATTTTATATACAAAATATTTAATTTTGTTATTTTTATGTATATTTATATGACAAAATACTTTATATATAATTTAAAAAATTTTAAAATTAATTATTCGATTAGTGATCCAAGTGACCGGAGACATAACCATGTCGATTTGCGATTTAAAAACTATGGTTTGAAGTTTAAAATTAAAAAAAAAAAGGATATTGATTTATGGGAGTCCGTACGGATGGGTTGCATTGTGAGTTGGACTAGTGTGTAGTGTATAAAGAAAAATAGAAAAAGATAAATGAAAAGGAAAAAAAGATGGTGTATTTTCTAATTTAATTGACCGCCCGATTACAATTAATCTAAAGGTTATAAATTAACAGTTGGGGCTGCCCCTTATTTAAACCCTCCTCTGTGCTACCTAGGGCACCACCCCTTTCATTTCTATCATATTTCACATCTTACTTCTTTTCAGCTATGATGAAAGGTGTCGTGGAGCGGGCTGTTAAGAGTCTCATTTCCAAGGAAATTGAAAGGGCTGCGAAGGAGTCCCTCGGCAAGGTTCTTGCTGAGGAGGCGAAAAACAGTCTGAAAGAGAGTGTGAAAGAAAATTTAAAGGAGGCCATGAAAGAGAATGTGACGGAGGTCAAGGAACGAGTCTGGGGCTTCGCAACACGGTTTGCTGAGAATATGATTTCCGCCAGCGTTTTCACTGGGGTACACTATGTTTGTGTGCTGGAAAAGAAAGAGCAGGCCCAAGTGTATGACTCGCACTAGAAAGGAAGGCAGCTGGGGCAGCTAATCGTTGCTAAGGACAAAGGTCTCAAACTTCAGCAGGAAGGAGATAGGAAGTTGGGTGAGATTCTGTCAGAGCTGAAAGGTCTCAAAGGTCTGTTGGTTGGAGGTAAGGGGGATGGATCTGGGGAGTGGAATGGGAAGGGATCTGGGGAGGGGAATGGGAATGGATCTGGGGAGGGGAATGGCAAGGGATCTGGGAAGGCTTGAGTCGTTGTTCCTACTTGGACCAGCTTGGATATCCATCGTTCCACTTTTAGTAATGGACAACGACTCAAGCCTTCCCAGATCCATTCCCATTCCCCTCCCCAGATCCCTTCCCATTCCACTCCCGCAGATCCTGGTGAGACAAGATGTACGACGCTTGGCGGTGGTGTTGACTGACGCCGTTAAGTAAATGACCTCCTTTTTGATCTCTAATTACAGTTTTGCCATTGAAAGTGTAAATTAAGTCAGCCATGTTTTTGGGTCGGTCACTTTCCCAATTTCCCGCACAAGTTACCGTTACTGACTGGAATGAAGGTGAAGAACCCACATCTTTCAACCCGTGAAATCTGATAAATTTTCCTCTCACCTACCACGTCTTTCAACCAGTAAAATCTTACAAATCTTCCTCTCAATATCTTCTTCTCAATATCCTATTTCTCAGAAAGATCAAGAGCAAAGGGAAATCCATAGAGGCAATTTTTTTTTTTCCACCACTCTTCACGGCCAAGCTTCAGGGAAAGGGAGTCGGCGACGCAGGCGGATCGAACGGCGAAGTCGACGTGCGGAGGCAGCAAAGCAAACGGCAGGGTCACGGAGGCAGATTCGGCTAACGACGACGGAGAGGTCTGTTGCGGCCCGACAAGGGGATCAGTGAGCGACCCTGCTGCTGACTTCCGAAGAATTAAGCTGACCCACGAAGTCTACTTTCCGACGGCTAGGGTTTCCAAGTGACCGACGACCTCTCGCTACCGGAGGCGACAAAGAAGCTGCTCCGGTCCACAAGCATCGAGAAGGTCCGCATCCGAGGCGATGATAGTGCCAAAATGTCGAGGGAGACTGTGGAGAGGGACGCCATCAGTCGCCAGGGAAAAATCACGATCCTTTCGTCTCTAAAAAAGGTCTTTTTTTTGTTTTTTTCCTTTGTTCCATTTTCAAATGGTGTAATCAGTGATGTTACTTGAACTTGATGTAATTGTTGATGTCAACTGGAATTAGGAACTTAGAGGAATAATTATTTGTGTGGGTTAAAAGAAAGGGGATTTTAGATTGTGTGTGTTTTTTATATGAAGAACTCCTCTGGCGTTTGACACTTTTTTTACTTATCTGCCATTGGTTTTTTAAGGTCTTCAATTACGTTTTTCTCCTGCTACACCGTCGCCGTGCAAACCAACCGCAGATCCTGGTGAGACAAGATGTACGACGCTTGGCGGTGGTGTTGACTGACGCCGTTAAGTAGATTATGGCCCGTAAAATCTGGGTACGAATGATTTCCCTCACCTTTTTGCACGATGTGAAATACCTGTAATTTCTGTATGGGTTTATTTTTGTTCTTCCTTCGTGTCTGCCATTTTTTCGAAAAAAAAGGGAGACTGCAACTTTGGGTTTGGGGTTTAATTTTTTCGTTGTTGTCGTGGGTGGCGATATTGCTTTCTTGTTTGAGTCCTGCGCTTTAGGACGTTCATTCTGTGGGATATAATGTGTTGAAGTATGTGCTGTTGTGTTTTTTTGTTTTTTCGAATGATGCTCTATATGTGCTTCAGTTGCTTGATAAAATGTCTGTTTCAGTTAAGAGCCTTTTTTAGGTTTGCCCATTAACGATGTGTGTGGTTCATTGTGCGCAGTTTTTTTTGTTACAAAACAATTTTATGGAACCTGTGCGGCAAGAAGTCGGCAGTAATGTTGCCCCGTCGGACACAACCAACCAGCCGGCAAGCTGCTATTCATAGGTGGCGGGGCAAAAAAAGCCGTGTGGATCAGCCTACGACGTCACAACAGACTTCGTCTGCAGCGAGGGGCAAAAAAAGCCGTGTGGAACAGCCTGTGACGTCGCAACAGCCTTCATCTGCAGCCGACGGTACAAACATAAGGTTTCGTGCCGAACCGACCATTGTGCGGCAGGTTTCGGTGAAGGACAATCGCCGTTTGGCGACGCAGCAGAGCTCAAGTCTGCCACCCCGTGCTGTAGAAACTGAAGGTTTTAGTTTTGTTTGAATTTGTAGCGTAGTTAATTTCTCTTGCAATTTTCCGTGGCTTCTATATAATTATTATCTTTTGTTTCCTGGCATTTTTGCCCCAATTTTTTTGGTGGAGATTTTTAGTAAAAATTACGGTTATGGGTTTGTGAATCTAAATTTAGCAACACTTTTAATTTGTAATACATATTTCATTGGGTTTATCATGATAAAAAATTTTGGTGCTACAATGGGATTCAGCATAAAATTATTAATAGCCTAATGGTAGTAAAAATGCCTATTTCTACATCTAATGTCAGATAGATGCGATTATAACTTTTTAAGATCTTATTACTAATTTCCTGTGCGACTAATTTTTCTCCTCCTTAGTTTTTGGACTAGCGGCAAGATTGTCAAGAAATAGGTCACCAGAAAATGGGCGGAATCTCGCGTCTGGCTGCGCTTCTCGGGCTTTCTTAACGAGTTAAAATTTAAGGGATCTATCTGAGGTGAATAATTTCGTTTAGATTCCAAATTCAGTTGAAAATTACATATATGAACACTCCCCCACTTAATTCTTGATGTATATATTTCTTCTTTTCAGTGTCAAGATAATCATTTTACTTTCCTGGTTGCTATGTATATGCATACTTAATTGAAAGGAAATACTTACTTTGTGTGGGATAATAGGCAGACAGAATTAATTTGTGTAACTAATATGATACTTTTTGTGTTGCTATACCTATTTTGTATTTGGTTTTTTCATAACAATCATAAAAAAAGTTGGGTTTTCTGATTTCACGTTGGATATGTTGGCATATATCTTACGCGATTTCCAAGTCAAGATACCACTTTTCCGGTTTATGATAACGCTAACGACTAAACTGCTTTTGTGTATCAACAGTTTTCGAGGGTGAGAGGATTCTTACAAAGGACTGTAAGATGCTCGAGAAATTTGATCTCACAGGAATTCCCCCAGCCCCAAGGATTGTATTGTCATTTACAACCATTACCCTAAAGTTTCAGAATTCAGATTTAACTTCTTCAGATTGTATTTGTTGTCTCGAATTCATAAAAACAATTCAAATTCTGTGAATGTAGCCGAGGGACCCTGCAAATTGAGGTAACCTTCGAGGTGGATGCCAACGACATCCTCAACGTCAAGGCCGAAGACAAAGCCTCCCGCAAGTCGGAGAAAATCACCATCACCAACGATAAGGGCCGCATGAGCAGAGAAGAGATTGACCACATGGTCCGTGAGGCCGAAGAATTTGTCAAGGCTCGATACATGCGTTTACAACATGAAGGACCAAGTCAACGGCATGGACAAACTTGCAGACAATTGGAGTCGGACTAGAAGTACAAGATCCAGGCCGCACTAAGGAGGCGCTCGAGTGGCTGGACGACAAACAAAATGCCAAGAAGTAGGATTATGAGGAGAAGCTCAAGGAGGTCAAGAGGCTTGATAAAACACAAAGACATATGGTGCGGGCACAAATTTATTTTTTTGCTTAACTCTTTCCGTTCCATTCTTTATCCTCAATTCCTCATGATACATTACAACGTCGTCTTTTCTTACATGGGTTCATTTGCTTTCCAAATTGCAGGTACATAAGAAGAAAGGACTTCATTATCCTAAACAACAGCCACAATGCGACCGTTGCGATGTCCTTGGTTGATCAGGTGGCACTGACGGCTAAGGGAGAGGAGAAGTAGGTACAATATGGATATCCAAGCTGGTCCATTCCCCTCCCCAGATCCATTCCCATTCCACTCCCCAGATCCATCCCCCTTACCTCCAACCAACAGACCTTTGAGACCTTTAAGCTCTGACAGAATCTCACCCAACTTCCTATCTCCTTCCTGCTGAAGTTTGAGACCTTTGTCCTTAGCAACGACTAGCTGCCCCAGCTGCCTTCCTTTCTGGTGCGAGTCATACACTTGGGCCTGCTCTTTCTTTTCCAGCACGCAAACATAGTGTAACCCAGTGAAAACGCTGGCGGAAATCATATTCTCAGCAAACCGTGTTGCGAAGCCCCAGACTCGTTCCTTGACCTCCGTCACATTCTCTTTCATGGCCTCCTTTAAATTTTCTTTCACACTCTCTTTCAGACTGTTTTTCGCCTCCTCAGCAAGAACCTTGCCGAGGGACTCCTTCACAGCCCTTTCAATTTCCTTGGAAATGAGACTCTTAACAGCCCGCTCCACGACACCTTTCATCATAGCTGAAAAGAAGTAAGATGTGAAATATGATAGAAATGAAAGGGGTGGTGCCCTAGGTAGCACAGAGGAGGGTTCAAATAGGGGGCAGCCCCAACTGTTAATTTATAACCTTTAGATTAATTGTAATCGGACGGTCAACTAAATTAGAAAATACACCATCTTTTTTTCCTTTTCATTTATCTTTTTCTATTTTTCTTTATACACTACACACAATTAGTAAAGATACATTATATAGTATTTTTCCTAATTCTTGATTTATGGGAGTCCGTACGGACTAGTGTGTAGTGTATAAAGAAAAATAGAAAAAGATAAATGAAAAGGAAAAAAAGATGGTGTATTTTCTAATTTAGTTGACCGTCCGATTACAATTAATCTAAAGGTTATAAATTAACAGTTGGGGCTGTCCCCTATTTAAACCCTCCTCTGTGCTACCTAGGGCACCACCCCTTTCATTTCTATCATATTTCACATCTTACTTCTTTTCAGCTATGATGAAAGGTGTCGTGGAGCGGGCTGTTAAGAGTCTCATTTCCAAGGAAATTGAAAGGGCTGTGAAGGAGTCCCTCGGCAAGGATTTGGCTGAGGAGGCGAAAAACAGTCTGAAAGAGAGTGTGAAAGAAAATTTAAAGGAGGCCATGAAAGAGAATGTGACGGAGGTCAAGGAACGAGTCTGGGGCTTCGCAACACGGTTTGCTGAGAATATGATTTCCGCTAGCGTTTTCACTGGGGTACACTATGTTTGCGTGCTGGAAAAGAAAGAGAAGGCCCAAGTGTATAACTCGCACCAGAAAGGAAGGCAGCTGGGGCAGCTAGTCGTTGCTAAGGACAAAGGTCTCAAACTTCAGCAGGAAGGAGATAGGAAGTTGGGTGAGATTCTGTCAGAGCTGAAAGGTCTCAAAGGTCTGTTGGTTGGAGGTAAGGGGGATGGATCTGGGGAGTGGAATGGGAAGGGATTTGGGGATGGGAATGGATCTGGGGAGGGGAATGGACCAGCTTGGATATCCATATTGTACCTACTTCTCCTCTCCCTTAGCCGTCAGTGCCACCTGATCAACCAAGGACATCGCAACGGTCGCATTGTGGCTGTTGTTCAGGATAATGAAGTCCTTTCTTCTTATGTACCTGCAATTTGGAAAGCAAATGAACCCATGTAAGAAAAGACGACGTTGTAATGTATCATGAGGAATTGAGGATAAAGAATGGAACGGAAAGAGTTAAGCAAAAAAATAAATTTGTGCCCGCACCATATGTCTTTGTGTTTTATCAAGCCTCTTGACCTCCTTGAGCTTCTCCTTATAATCCTACTTCTTGGCATTTTGTTTGTCGTCCAGCCGCTCGAGCGCCTCTTTAGTGCGGCCTGGATCTTGTACTTCTAGTCCGACTCCAATTGTCTGCAAGTTTGTCCATGTCGTTGACTTGGTCCTTCATGTTGTAAACGCATGTATCGAGCCTTGACAAATTCTTCGGCCTCACGGACCATGTGGTCAATCTCTTCTCTGCTCATGCGGCCCTTATCGTTGGTGATGGTGATTTTCTCCGATTTGCGGGAGGCTTTGTCTTCGGCCTTGACGTTGAGGATGTCGTTGGCATCCACCTCGAAGGTTACCTCAATTTGCAGGGTCCCTCGGCTACATTCACAGAATTTGAATTGTTTTTATGAATTCGAGACAACAAATACAATCTGAAGAAGTTAAATCTGAATTCTGAAACTTTAGGGTAATGGTTGTAAATGACAATACAATCCTTGGGGCAGGGGGAATTCCTGTGAGATCAAATTTCTCGAGCATCTTACAGTCCTTTGTAAGAATACTCTCACCCTCGAAAACTGTTGATACACAAAAGCAGTTTAGTCGTTAGCGTTATCATAAACCGGAAAAGTGGTATCTTGACTTGGAAATCGCGTATGATATGTGCCAACATATCCAACGTGAAATCAGAAAACCCAACTTTTTTTATGATTGTTATGAAAAAACCAAATACAAAATAGGTATAGCAACACAAAAAGTATCATATTAGTTACACAAATTAATTCTGTCGGCCTATTATCCCACACAAAGTAAGTATTTCCTTTCAATTAAGTATGCATATACATAGCAACCAGGAAAGTAAAATGATTATCTTGACACTGAAAAGAAGAAATATATACATCAAGAATTAAGTGGGGGAGTGTTCATATATGTAATTTTCAACTGAATTTGGAATCTAAACGAAATTATTCACCTCAGATAGATCCCTTAAATTTTAACTCGTTAAGAAAGCCCGAGAAGCGCAGCCAGACGCGAGATTCCGCCCATTTTCTGGTGACCTATTTCTTGACAATCTTGCCGCTAGTCCAAAAACTAAGGAGGAGAAAAATTAGTCGCACAGGAAATTAGTAATAAGATCTTAAAAAGTTATAATCGCACCTATCTGACATTAGATGTAGAAATAGGCATTTTTACTACCATTAGGCTATTAATAATTTTATGCTGAATCCCATTGTAGCACCAAAATTTTTTATCATGATAAACCCAATGAAATATGTATTACAAATTAAAAGTGTTGCTAAATTTAGATTCACAAACCCATAACCGTAATTTTTACTAAAAATCTCCACCAAAAAAATTGGGGCAAAAATGCCAGGAAACAAATGATAATAATTATATAGAAGCCACGGAAAATTGCAAGAGAAATTAACTACGCTACAAATTCAAACAAAACTAAAACCTTCAGTTTCTACAGCACGGGGTGGCAGACTTGAGCTCTGCTGCGTCGCCAAACGGCGATTGTCCTTCACCGAAACCTGCCGCACAATGGTCGGTTCGGCACGAAACCTTATGTTTGTACCGTCGGCTGCAGATGAAGGCTGTTGCGACGTCACAGGCTGTTCCACACGGCTTTTTTTGCCCCTCGCTGCAGACGAAGTCTGTTGTGACGTCGTAGGCTGATCCACACGGCTTTTTTTGCCCCGCCACCTATGAATAGCAGCTTGCCGGCTGGTTGGTTGTGTCCGACGGGGCAACATTACTGCCGACTTCTTGCCGCACAGGTTCCATAAAATTGTTTTGTAACAAAAAAAACTGCGCACAATGAACCACACACATCGTTAATGGGCAAACCTAAAAAAGGCTCTTAACTGAAACAGACATTTTATCAAGCAACTGAAGCACATATAGAGCATCATTCGAAAAAACAAAAAAACACAACAGCACATACTTCAACACATTATATCCCACAGAATGAACGTCCTAAAGCGCAGGACTCAAACAAGAAAGCAATATCGCCACCCACGACAACAACGAAAAAATTAAACCCCAAACCCAAAGTTGCAGTCTCCCTTTTTTTTCGAAAAAATGGCAGACACGAAGGAAGAACAAAAATAAACCCATACAGAAATTACAGGTATTTCACATCGTGCAAAAAGGTGAGGGAAATCATTCGTACCCAGATTTTACGGGCCATAATCTACTTAACGGCGTCAGTCAACACCACCGCCAAGCGTCGTACATCTTGTCTCACCAGGATCTGCGGTTGGTTTGCACGGCGACGGTGTAGCAGGAGAAAAACGTAATTGAAGAGCTTAAAAAACCAATGGCAGATAAGTAAAAAAAGTGTCAAACGCCAGAGGAGTTCTTCATATAAAAAACACACACAATCTAAAATCCCCTTTCTTTTAACCCACACAAATAATTATTCCTCTAAGTTCCTAATTCCAGTTGACATCAACAATTACATCAAGTTCAAGTAACATCACTGATTACACCATTTGAAAATGGTACAAAGGAAAAAAAAAAAAAAAATAAGACCTTTTTTAGAGACGAAAGGATCGTGATTTTTCCCTGGCGACTGATGGCGTCCCTCTCCACAGTCTCCCTCGACATTTTGGCACTATCATCGCCTCGGATGCGGACCTTCTCGATGCTTGTGGACCGGAGCAGCTTCTTCGTCGCCTCCGGTAGCGAGAGGTCGTCGGTCACTTGGAAACCCTAGCCGTCGGAAAGTAGACTTCGTGGGTCAGCTTAATTCTTCGGAAGTCAGCAGCAGGGTCGCTCACTGATCCCCTTGTCGGGCCGCAACAGACCTCTCCGTCGTCGTTAGCCGAATCTGCCTCCGTGACCCTGCCGTTTGCTTTGCCGCCTCCGCACGTCGACTCCGCCGTTCGATCCGCCTGCGTCGCCGACTCCCTTTCCCTGAAGCTTGGCCGTGAAGAGTGGTGGAAAAAAAAATTGCCTCTATGGATTTCCCTTTGCTCTTGATCTTTCTGAGAAATAGGATATTGAGAAGAAGATATTGAGAGGAAGATTTGTAAGATTTTACTGGTTGAAAGACGTGGTAGGTGAGAGGAAGATTTATCAGATTTCACGGGTTGAAAGATGTGGGTTCTTCACCTTCATTCCAGTCAGTGACGGTAACTTATGCGGGAAATTGGGAAAGTGACCGACCCAAAAACATGGCTGACTTAATTTACACTTTCAATGGCAAAACTGTAATTAGAGATCAAAAAGGTACCTTCAACAGATCACTTGTTTTAAGGCTTGATTCGTAAAAAAGTGAATAATAATGAAGTATAAGATTCTAATAAATAATACTTGTAAATATATTTTATAAGATTCTCAAGTGGACGATATTAAAAATACATTAGGATTCCTTAATATTCGTCTCTAAAGTGAATTATATGTTTATAGCTGATCGTTGTCAGCTATAATTTATTTTAACTAATAAACAATTATATGTTTCCCTAATATATCAAGAATTAATGCCCTAAACTCAAATATTTCAAATGAATAATACACTATCAGAGAACACAATACTGATGTGTTTTTAATAATTTTCAACATATCAACAATTGTTCGCAAACTGAATCCAACCAGTATTATCAACACAAACCAGCACCAGTCTTTGGCCTCTTACTTTCATCTCCTCCATGTGATTCCCCGCTTTCGTTGATTATTTGTTTTCCTTGCAAATTTAGGGTATGCACAATCTATGCACAAATTTTCCGATTGCGTCATTGTTGAAATCGACTTTATCTATGCGCGTCTGTGTCTTCTTGATGATACTGGTTGGATTCAATTAGTTACTTCTGTAATTTTGCTGGCGTGTGTGCATAGTTGATTTTTTTGAAGCGTTGATTGATTATATTGTTCGGTTCTCCAACTTTTTTAGTATAGACTGGACATTAGTCGTGATGAGGACAAGGGTTTAAAACAGATCACGATGATGAAGGATGTAGTTGTTTGAAGGGGAGATGGTCATAAACAGAAACTTCATGTAGGAGGTAAATATAGTTTTTTCCATTCTGTTTACTTCGTTTTATTTATAAAATATGTTCTTTGTTTCAATGATCTGATGAATCAAAATTGAGTGTAGAATTTCTGGATTTGACACTTGATGAAGTGGGAGACCGCGTGGAAATTGTTTACACACATGTTCGTGATGATGGCTTAAAGGGATCCCCTAAAACAATTGTCTCTTGTTCCATTGCTCTGGGGAGTCGTGAATGGTTTTAAGTTTACTTTCATGCCAACTTCTGGAGTGGAAATGTCATATATTATTTCTTAATATCTATTTTATTTTTTACTCCTCCTTTTGAAATCTAAGGAGCTTATTGATTTTCATGTTGGTAATTTTAGATTATTTCGCTTTATCAAATTTATTGGAGCTTGCTCCCTCCTTATGGTAATATGGTTTCACAATCTTCAATTTGACTATTTCAAATCAAATGAATGCAAGCATATGAGTTATGAGTTCTCATTAACTTGTTTTTTCATATTATTATTATTTTTTTAGTACTATTGTTGTGCCAATTAAGATTTCTAATTCTTTATCACTTGCATTGTGCACTACTTTTAGAATGTTATGGTCCCAGGTCTAATAATATAACACTTAAATACAGGGGAACCTTTAAGGGTTGAATTGGTAAGTCCTGATTATTGTTGGGCCAGGAAGTGTGGTCTTGAAACAAGATATTTCGAAGGACAAGAAGGAATCGGGAAGTACATTTGGTTTCTGAGCAAAGGATGAGCTCGATGAATCTTCCATGTAGAAACTGCTGAATATGAAAAATGCCGATATATGCGGGTAGACATTGTAAGTATTCGCTGAAATTTGATTATATAATTACAATTTTTTCATTAATTTTATAATAAAATATTTAGCAAAAAAATCTTTACATTTTTTTAATAAAAAATATTTTATTGTAATAATACCGATTAATATATAGGTGAATAATGTTACTATATCGATATAACTTCTTGGTAAATATGAATTAATTTTCAACATATATAGGCATATCATTGTTCTCTAGACATTTTTAATTAATTTGAAGATAATGATGGATAAAAGTACAAATAACTATTATCTGTCACATAAAAAGTTTACGTAGAATTAATAAGAACAAAAAATTAACAAGTATTTAACAACTCAGCTCATTTACATCGATAAGTAAAAGTTTTACAAGTTTTATCTTTATTTTTGTTAACTATAATATTTTATTAGTACTTTTTCATATTAATTAGTAAGTGATACAATTTAAGTTTAATTTTGATATTATTTATCAAATTTAATATTTTTTCCTTCACATTGTTATTTTATATATATATATATATATAACTTTAAGATTTGTTAAACAATACATAAAATTAAGTATAGAACCTTTTGGGTCATATGTGTTATTATATATTAATTAATTGTACCAATTAATTGTACATCTTTGTATTTCATTATATATAATTACAATTTTCTCATTAATATGAGACTCAAATATATTTTTTTTCATTCCGTACATTTTTTTTTTCTAAAAAATTGCTTTATTAGAATAATACAGATAAATAGATAGATGAGTAATGGTAATATATCTATATAATTTATTGCTAAAAAGTAATTAATTTTTAACGTATATATGCATATCATGATTCCCTAGATATTTTTAATTAATTTATATATATATTATCTAAATTAAATCATGTTTCTCAAGAAGTATCCCATTTGACATGAAAATAAATAGTGTGGGTTTTAGTATTATACAATTTCATAAAATTGTTCTACTATTATTTTAAGCAAAGACATTAAGTAGATAATAAATTTAGGCTGCAAAACAAGCATTCAACAATTACTCTCTCATGCTATTACAAAGATTATTATCTTTTATATGGGGGCTATGGGGACATACATTATCGATTTCAGTTTTTTTACTTATAGTAATTAATAATAGATGAATAATAGTAATAAATGATATAATTTATTGGTAAAAGTTAATTAATTTTCACCGTATAGGCATATCATGATGCTCTACATATCTTAATTAATTCATAGATAATTGTATGATTAAAATAACATCATGCTGCTCAAGTAATATTCCATTCGACATGAAAAAAATGGATTGGATTTTAGTATTATATAATTTCATAAAATTATTCTAATCTTATTTTAAGTAAATAAATTGAGTAGATTAGAAGTTTAGGTTGCAAAATAATTATTCAACAATTTATCTCTCATACTATTACACAATTTATTCTTTTTATAGTTTATTTTGAAAAAAAAATATTCCTATAGTTTGTGGTCATTACGATGACAAGAATTATTGATTTAAATTTTTTTACTTATAGTTTTTAATAAACGTATAAAATTAAATAAATATCGTTGGAACAATTATCTTTTTTGATAGGATATTTACAGTTAAATAAACTCTCAAAATTTTATTGAGAAAATTATAAAATTATTTAAGAATTTTAAATAATATCAATAAATAAAATATTTAATATATAAAAATTTGAATTATCATCGTTTATGGAGCGCTCATAATTAATTGCTCACGTGAAATAATAATAATTAAAATGGCATGATATTTTTTTGTTAATAATTGAATGAAAAAATTCAAATATTTTAAGTATTAATAATTGTAAAAAAAAAAACATGTGTATTATTATATTTTGCTGAAATATAATAGTTAATGCAACAATTATTTTGGGTTAGTGTAATGCTTTGATAATCCACACCAGCAATTGATCTGTATATGATTATACAATAATACACGATCTGTTGGCAAAAATTAATTTTTAGTGTATGATTCTTATAAAATATAATATAAAAAATATTATATTGGAGGGGAAGATATGATATTACTTGGAATAAACACCATTGTTTGCTAATACACAATGGTAAACCAGTCAGAATTGGTACTACATGGCTTGCAACAAATGTTACCGTAAGGTTACCGAACAAGGAGGCAAATGTTGGTGTAACCATTGTGATTGTCGTCCTAATGCTGTTCTCACTCGGTAATATAATACCCAATAACTATTTCCCAACTTTGGTGACCTTCACTAAGTGATGTTATGTAATATATCTTATTGTCGTTTCATTGATGAATTTTGTATCAACGAATAGTTTCAAAGTCCACGTCCGCGTTGAAGATAAAACCGGTTCTACGTCATTTGTTCTCTTTGATCCACAAGTTTCTCCAATATTGGGAAAGAGTGCCGCAGATCTTAAAAATGCACTGGAAGCAGTAATAATCTGTTCCTATCCCTATAAATAATGATATCATCAATATTTGTTCCGTATTAATTATTAATTATTTATATTTACACTAATGCCTTTTTTTTTTTTCTTAATATAGGTTGGTGATGGCGATTCATTTCCAAATGAGTTGGAATATTGACGATGAAAAGTTATCTTTTCAAAATTGACATAAAAAGGTACAATCTAAACCAATCAAAAAGGGTTTATACAGTCGCCAGACTCACCGATGATGCAACTATTATATCTAAGTGGTGTGATTTGATTTATGAGGAAGCGGTAAGCTACTTTTCATGAATGTTGCAATTCAATTTGTAATTAATTTCTTATCAAATTCATATGCTTACAACTATCTTACATTTTCTTAGAATACTAATACTAAACTCCCATGGATGTATTTGAGAATCAAGAAAATGTCATTGACCTCGAATGGGTAAGCAATAAAGTAAAAATATAATTATGAGTATATTTTTATGAACTTTCAAATTATGAATATGACTTCAACTGTAAACATATATATAACAATTCTATGTTTTCTGTATAGAGTACTGTGTCATCTGTTGCTGACAATGCAAAAATAGGTGAAACTACTCCCTTTTCTAAGAAGCGTCTCTCTGGAGATATCAACCACGAGGATGGTGGTGATGGTGTGCCGCATTCCCAAGGTTCATGCAATGGAAAAAATGTGAAAGTGAAGATTGAAAAAATGCACGATTGAGATATTTGTTCAATTCTAATAAAATTGGCTTGGTTTATTATAGCCGTAAACATTTTATTTTATGATTACTTCTTTTTTCTAGAATAATGGTTTGTTCCATAAACATTTTATTTTAAGATTACTTTTTTTTTATTTAAGAATAATGGTTTGTTTGCTATTTGATATGATCAATATTTCGGCCTATATTGTTGGAGGTTATATTTAATATTTGTTTTTTATGCCTCTTCAATCATAATTATTATTTTGATTTGCTAATTTTATTATAATTATGAATCTATTTTATTATATTCTTTAGAGAACGAAACTAGACCATCAAAATGAGACTATTTATTTGTTTCGTATGTGAAAATTATGAATTTCTTGGAAGACACACCAACTATTAGATAAAAATGATATAACACAAAATCTTTGGATTTTGTCAATGTATGTTTATAAAAATTATAACTCCACTTGTCACCAGTTCATTTTTGGACTGGAAAAATTTAAAACCCCTCAATTAGTTTTGAGTTGGTATCTAACATTGATTTGAGCTTTAACAGTGCGGTTCTTATGACTCAGCTGAAAATAATTTTTTATTTTTTAAAAAACCAAAATAATTTAATTTTATATATAACATTACTTTGAGTTTTAATTAAATTGTCAAATTATATTCTTTTAATCATAATAATTAAACACCCGTATATTAAAT